TTCATACTAAGATTTGGTGATTTTAAGTCAATGAAAGCACAAGTCTAAAGCCCCTGGTTTATTATTGGTTATAGCACTGTGTATAGAAAAATACGTAATATCTTCTGTTATATAGAATCTTGAATAATTTTCTTTTCAGTGGATTGATTTTATGCTAACTTTTTTGTTTTGTTTTGTTTTGTTTTGTTTTTTTATTTTTCTGTTCATCCTGACCTTTTAAAATTAATTATTTCCTTTCTTGACTACTAAAAAAAAAGTTATACAGCAGAGGCTATCCACACTGCATTGCCACTTCATGGCTCAGGCTTCTCCATGGCTTGCTGGGTTTTTCTCTAGTAAATCCATTTATTTAGGCATCTTGGTCTGCCTTCCACATGAGAATATTCATGTTTCCCAGGATCTTAAAGCTTAATCAGAAAAGGGCATGTTTTCAAACCCCTGCTACTTTGAAACTCCAAATGATAAATATATGCAAACAGTGACACAGGGTAAGACCCAATATCTGTCTCCTCCATGAAGTTGTGGCCCACACTAAATGCTTTGGGAAGAGTGTAGGAGGAGGGTGAGTCTGCAGTGATGCTCCTGCAGACTGCTTTCCCGGCCTCCAGCTATTGGTAACTCAGGGACTGCCTGAGTTGAAGGTGACACAAACTCTTATCTTTCGCTACCTCTGCTGCTCTTTTGGTTAATTCCATTTGGCCATATTAAAATACATAGGATGCCAGTGAGTGAGCCCAGTTTGATAAACAACTGTTTTAAGGCCTTGTAAATTATTCTTCTTTGCAATGTCAGTTTTTGTAGTTTCTATAAATTTTATGAGGTAAATGTTTATGTGTCATCTGGTTTCTACCTAATTTAAAAAATAGATTGCTATGGAATAATTTTACTGAATAATCCTCATTTATAGATATCTGCAATTTCTCCATTAACAAGCTCTTAATATATTAATTGAGGGGATTCATTGCTTTTTATAGTGATATGGTGGCTAAAAGCAAGTGTGTTTAAATTGAAGGCTGAATAGAGGCAAATTATACTCTGCTGACACTCCTGTCTTTACCACCTTGACTTATATGTAATCCTGCCAAAATCTACTGATTAATGAGATTGATTTTGCATAACTAGGGAATTATTTTTTAATTTGTTATTGCCTGCATTATGTCACTGTTTCCATGAATTTGCCTGGTGTGTACATTATCACAAATAGGCTACTGCTATCTGAACCATTTTGCATGTTCTTTGTTTAAACAAGATTATGGTTATTCTGGAATTTAACACAGCTCTGAGGTGAGTTAAATGTTAGCAGGAATGCTTCAAAGAGCTCCGGGACATAGAGATCCCCTTTCTGAAATGTAAAACTCAGAGTCCTAGCAGCTGCAGGTTAATAGCCTCTCTCACCACTAGAAAAAAAAGAATAATTATTTATCAGTGCTTTTTTCTAGATGCAGATCACAATATTTATTGATCACTTTTTACTGCATTGTTAAAGGAAATCTTATCTATATAAGCTAATAGCATATTTATACTATTTGGATATTGTTTTATGTTCTTGAAGTCTTTACGGAGTAGCTTTTACTCTTTAATTAAGTTTTTATTGTCCATAAACCTGTTGACTGTTACTGTTTGTTGGTGCCTTTTGTTTACCATTTTGTGTGCATTTCCTTGCCAGTAGCTTGTATTCATTGTTATCTCATCTCAAGGTTTTCTTGTCTTTACTCCATACTTCTCTGTAAACAGACCACTGTCAAAGTAACTGTAGGGCTTAGCTACCCAGTAAGGCATTCTTAGCTTAACTTAAAACTCATTATTCACTTTTTTTCATTTTCTAATTCCCACTTTGAGGTTGCATCCAAGTTTTGCTGGTTCTTATATCAGAAAGAAGATGGAGACAATCCTCAGTGTTCTTTAACCAGTGACTTTAGTGTTTCCTCTCATTTATGCTTTTTTAGACTTGCTATTAATTAATGGTTTTGTGTAACTGGAACAAATTAAGCGCATAGGATAATATGCAACTGCAGAATGTCATCAGCACTCACAAGTCACTCAATGTGGCAAAGTTTTCTTTCTGTCCTTGTCTTTCTAGTTCTGAAAAACTTGTCTTCTTGCATTGAGCAAAACGTACATCACTGTTACCACCTAGCTCTGACAGGTGATAAGTTCTGTTTTATTGAACAATAAGTTAATGTCATATCAGCTGCTGGAACTAACAGTTTTCGCTCATGCACACTGAATTACGGTGTAATCCCTGAGGCTAGGCTCTTTGTCAGTACACTTGCTGCTTAAATGAAGATATGATTTTACCATAGCAACCAGTTAGACTATACAGAATTCTTCAGTTATCCAGCCTCATGACAGCTAAATGTAACTGGTGTAGGTTGTAAGAGAGGTGGGCAGTTTATGCTATATGTGAAATATTGTACAGAAAACTGCACATAAATCATATTAATATTCTTCATAATTGCACCACAATTATGAAGAAATTAAATTAATTCAGTTGAAAAAGAGCATAGCTGACAAAGGATCCATTTTACTAAAGCAGTTTAAAATAAGCATAGTCCTGTACAGTGTCAAGAATGAGGGAATTCATTCAAATTTAGGAAAAGTATGGCTTTTTCAGAATCGAGGCTCATTTTTCTCTCTAAAACCAATGCAAATCAAAGACCCAGCTCTTCTATATTTCTGGCTGTGGGATGGGTTTTGTTTCCTTGTTTGAGAGAGGACTGGGGGCTTGCAGAGATCAGTAGTATGAAGCCTCATCACAAAAAACACAGACAGACAAATATTTTCCCAGATTCAGTGAAGCAATTTAGTAAACTCTCCTGTAAATTGTGAAGTTCCAGAAGAGACACTGATTAAAATGGTATCTGGCAGTTTTTCATTTTCCAATGGCATTGTATTGGGTTACTAGTCAAAGCAAGATACCTACCCATATGCACATGATTGATCTCTCTCTATATAACATTTTCACAAGTTCTGAAATGTTAGCCTCAGTTTTGAAATTCAATCTGTGATCACTCTTGGTTTGCCTTCACTGACAAACATCCTGCAAATACAGAGTTTTGGGGTTTTTTTTCTGATGATGCTTCAATCAAATAGAAATGCATTTCTTGCTCTTTTCAAGACTTACAGAAATTTTTACTCCAAAATGCTGGAGGCTGTAGAAAATACAGTAGCTTGTCTCCTTGGAGAGAACTCCATAAAGGAGTTCTTTGTCTCGGCTGAACATACCACAGATTACAGGAACACATATTGGCCTGGGTTCTGACCAGAGCTCAGCTATGTAAATCCAGGGTTGCTTCAGATTTTTACTAAGCCTGCTGGGGATTTACACAGGTGTAGGAAGAATTTATTCTAGTTCATACTGAGAAGGTATGTTCAATTATACAAACACTTGTCTATGTGCAAGTAGACTTCTACAGTTACATATTCCGGTTATTACCAAGACTGAGACACATTTTTAAAGCATTTTCTTTATCCTGAGAAACAGCACTGAGTGCTTTGTGCCAATATGGTCAGATTTAGTGAAGAGAAGATTTTAGGCAGGATCTTTGCTCATTACAAAGGAAGAAAAATAATTTTTTAAGAGGAAAATGCTGGCTCTTGTGCTTAAGATATATGCATTGAAGGAAAATGGTGGGGGGGACAAACATCATATTCAAGGTCTGAGGATGAGTATACGTGAATACTTTGCCTTTAAACTTTTGATCCAAACTATGAGGTGTTCACTCTGGGCTCAGGGCTGAGTGGTTTCCTCTGTTTCATACACGTCAGGCACAGGAAAGACACAAGAGCTGACAGTGCACTCCTCCTGTTTGCTTCTCACTTCTTCTCTGCTTGCTGTTTTCATCGAAACTGTCAGATTTTCTTCAAGATTGTGAGGAAATCTCTCAAAACAGCACCAGCTGAGCCTCATGCATGCAGACATATGTAGTGGTGCTGCTGGATGAAAGGGGGGATATTTGAAAGGAAACATACAAAAAGAGGTGGGGGAGAAATGTGTTGTGACCACAGTGTTCCTATGCCTGAGGCATCCTGTCTCCCAGGGCACTGCAACAAGAACCCGCTCTCTTCCCCCACACCCAGGACCTGGGAACTGAGGAGCCCTATTCTTTCCTTTCTTTCCTTGGGCAAGCTGTCGCCTCTCACACTGACAGCACCACCAAACTGTTCTAACAAATCTCTGTGTTGTTTGGCACAGCTCTGTGACACATGAAGCCCAGCCACATTCGTGCATAGCATACCCAGCACCTCCAGCCAGCTCCGGGAATCAAAACTGGTGTTTGGCTGAAAATACTTTCTGTTGGAGTTTCTGACGTTAGAGATTCTTGAAGGCTTGCAGCACTCCCGTGTTCTTCAACAGTATGAGATGCTGCTGGGCAACCTTAGTGCTGCCTTCAGTGAGGCTTTTCTCAGTGCAGAGAGCTAACCCCAGGTGTCAGTTATTCTGAAGGACAAATCTCAGTGCTCCACGGTCCACAAAGCAAAATTTATGTATGTGCAATATTTTCTTGCTGCATCACGCTGGCCTTTTTTGGATATGACAGCTACTTGTCTCATACTGGGTACCAAGGAGCAGGAATTGTGTTCTCCTCAGGGTGTTTGGATACAGTCATTGGCCACTGCAGAGATAGGAGCAGGAGTTCAAAGTCTTGATATCCAACAGCTGCTGGAGATCACTTATCTGCTGGAGATTGATGCCACACACCTGAACCATACTGAGGGATCATGCAACATATCACATAGCTCATCCATGGGCTAGGCATAGCTATTAACATTTTTAACTGCTCCATTTGCATCTGTAAGAGTATATCTGCCATGCATTTTCTTTAGTTTTCTGACCGTATGCATTTTTGCTTGTATTTGTGTAGGTATATCTTGGAATATGGACAATGATTGCTTTAGAGGAGACTGTAGGACTATCTGCTACGTCTTAGGTTGTTTTGAAGTGAATGGAAAAGGGAGAGTCTCACTCGTTGCTATTCTTTGTTATTTTTCCTGTTCAGACGCAGACGGATAACTGGGCAGCGAGTACTCGTGTTCAGAAGCCATGAATTCCAGAAAATTGCTTTCAGAAACACGGAGAACATTTCCTGCTACTAAAGTACACTGCCAGCAGCCATCAAGGGTTCTCATTGTGGATGTCACATCGCCTTCCTGGACCAACACTTGTTCTGTGCTCTCTGAAGCTCTGGAAAACACGCTGTGTTTGGCCTGCAGTTTGACAGGCCCCTGCCGCGTTCCTCTGCTGAGCCTCTACGTGGTGCAGAACCAGCAGGAGTGTCTGCTTCCCTTTACGGTATGTGTGAAATTATGTCTCTTAGGACCTAACACACATCAATGCAATACACCGTTACAGTTCAGTAAAGAAAGTTATGATTTACTACAAATTTATATCTAAAAAAGAATCATTTTCAAAGAGCATAGTTTCATAGACTTCATGGAAGAGAACATTTTATGAATTAATAATGTTTATAAGGAGGAGTGTCATATTTTTGATCTGTGAAGTTGCTTATGTGCATAAATTAGATTTTGTGCTGTTCCCATCTAAAACATCTGTTGTACCTCTCCCTTTTATGTGCTACTTTCTGCACTGTCTGTACTGCTTCTCTACCAAAAATATCAAACACAACTCTACAGCTGTAATAATTTGGATGGTGAAATGATCTGTGTAATACTAAAATATTACCACTTTGGGAGGGGTTCGCATTTAAGGGAAAAGGATCAGAATTCAAAATATTTTTTGCCAACTTTGAGAAATATCCTGAGATCATAGAATTGTTTAGGTTGGAAGAGACCCTTAAGATCACTGAGTTCAACTATAAACCTAACACCGCCAAGTCCACTATTAAGCCGCATCCCTTAGTGCTACATCTACATGTCTTTTAAATATATGGATCCAAGTCAGTAAGAACAAGTTTTTCATTCATCTAGGGATATGCAGCAGAATAAATACGGATGGAGAATGACTCTACAATAAAAGTTTGGTATTGCAAAGCATCATAAAGTTCACAAGAATCCATATGAAGTCATACTATTATAAACAGGCTTACTGAGCACTCTTATTTATGCAGTGTAGTGTAAACACGCAGTATTAACCCTTCCACTTTTTTCAGCAATGGTGAAAACATTCTGAAATAGTTTGTCAAGTTTTCATGTCTCAGGAAAGGTAGAAGCCAACTGGGGAAGAAAATCGTAGCAAATGTGATTGGCAAGAAAGCTGTGGCTAATGGTAGTGTTTAGTGTATAGAATAGGTTATAGATAATGTGACAGGGTAAGTAAAGGGATATCAAAGAAACATTTTCTGGAGATGTTGTGAAATCACTCTGATTAGGAGCTTTAAGAAGAGACACTTGTCTTGCTTCCTAGGATGAATTACATAGCATGTCACTGTAGGATGGACTAGGTAATCTGTTTCACAACTGGTCTCAGGCCTTTTTTCAGTAATTTTGCATTATGACCAAGTTAACTTGTAAGTGTTAGGGCCAAACACCTGCTTTTGTATTAGCTAGGTATGTGCTGGCTGACAGCAACCTCAGATCTCATTTGGTAATCATAGCTCACCAGAGCACAACTGCACTTTAACACAATCCCTCTACTTGCCCCGTCATATGACTCTTCTGCTCATGATAGGCTGTCTTTTCTTTATTTAAACAGCAGTTCTTCATTTTGGTAATCATAGTTTTTAAAGACAGAGGAACCCTTAGATCATTGTTTGGCTTCCCTCATATTACAGGCTGTTCTATTTCACTAAAGTACCCATATATGATTAAAGCACTTCCTCCAGAAAGGCATCTGGTTTTGATCTGAAAATATTACAAGATGGAGAATCAAGTACTTCTATTGATAATTTCTTCCAGTGGTTAATCACTGTCATTGTGAAACTTGCACCTGGCTTCTAATTTGCATTTATTGGCTTTAGCTTCCAGGGATTTGTTAATATATTTCCTCTTTTCACTAGATTGAAGAACTTGCTTGTATTTTATATTTTCTCACTCTAAACATAATCAGGTCCCTTCTCAATCTTCTAGCTGGTAAATGAAAGAGAACAAAGTGCAAGTCTAACTGCAAGGCATTTTTACAAGCCCTTAATAACTTCCAAGCCCTTCTATGTATTCACTCTTCTGGTTTTTTTCCCCATGCTACATTCCAATATTGGACTCAGCAATGCTGTACAGAGAGCTAAAAAATACCTACTCCCCTCCTGTTTGCGTGACTGGTAATCACATTTTGCCATACCAGTCTTTTGCCATCTTTTTGCCAATCAACTCTTTTGCCATAATATTGTGTTTCTCTGGGACTTGTCCAAGACAGCAAAGTTCACACTCGAAGTGGCGCATACACAGTTGATAGGCACAACTCTAATGTCAGCCTTGACTCCCCTTCTTCCTGGCTTTGCTTGGATGTCCTGCCCAGTGAGCTGCTCTTTATTTCAGACATCTGCTGTTGTACTGAAGGCTGTTTTTCAGAATACTTCTTTTTTTATTAGGGACAGTCAAGTATAGCAAGATGACTGTCTTCTTTAATGGACCTAATTTCACTAATAATGATGTCTGGTCCTCTGCAGCTTCTGGAGTCAGGAACAGTTCTACATCTCTCTCAGATTCTATCTGATAAACATCTGTTCTTCCAAAATACGAGGGCTCCAGTGCTTTTTCTGTACTCCTGAACTTGCCTCTTTGTCTCAGCAGGGCGCTGATTTTCTGGTCTAGCTAGAAAACAACTTGATGCTTCTCAGTGAGGAACCAAGATAGAGCTATATTAAAGGTTGCTTATTAGACAAATCATACAAAGTCAGGAAAGCCCCAGAGCTGAAAATAGAGATTGGGAGAGTACATGGGGAAGTGTCATATACGGTTACCCTTTTCTTAGTCTTTCCTGGGCAGTTGTTTGTGGTCTTTGTTCCTACTGGTCTCCTCTATTGGCCTAACTCTGACACGTCCAAAGAGCTTCTCTGGAAAGGGCAGGGGGATGCCAAAGGAAAGGAAATAAGGAAGAAAGTAAATAACCTTCCATTGGTTATTTGGTGCAGGACAACAGATGGTGACAAGAGGGGAAGTTAGCGTTAAAGCATTAAAAAAATTTAATGTGGAACTGAGTAAGGACTGAGCAGAGTGGCTCCAGTTGATGGGCCCTATTCCTACTTGTTTTCCCCTGGGATGGTCAGCTATCACCCACAAATCCCAGAGCCTCCTTGACAAAGAAGGATGAAAGAAAAACAAGGGAGAAAGGCATTAACTATGGGGATCAGCAAATTAAGGAAGTGACGTAGGTGAGGGTACAACCTGTGGAAGGAGCCAGACTAGGCAGTGAGCACAGTATCTACCCCAGCTTGTGGCTGGCTTTGGCCTCTGGTTGTGGTAGCTTTTCTCTGTAAGCAATGTAGTGCTGCAAATTAAAATGTTTTGCTGGATGCATAGGGTGAAGTTATGAATTCTTGTAGTTGTGTAATGAAGAGGGGCAGGAATCACATGTGAAGAGACATGTCAAGGCCTATGGCGCTGCGCTGGGTGTCAGCTCCTGGAAGAGGGGTGCAGTCAGAAATAGTGAAACACAAAATTTTTGCTTAGAAGCTTAACTTATGTCCCAAGCACATTCCAGAGTTGAAACTGTGGCTTGTGTATACTTGCTTAAGTTAACATTTACAGTAGCTGTGCATATGCAAGAGAAAATGCAACCCTGCTGGTGCAAGTTCCAAAGGCAGGTACTTAACTGGACTCAGGCTGCCCTGCAGCCTGTGCTAAGCCTTGTTCTGCCCCAGTTAGAATCAATACTTGACCTGAAGGAACTAGTTTTTGTCTATGTATGTGAGCTGCAGGGGATTGCAGGGCAGGCATCTGAACTGCAGGGAATTTTGCTGTAGCACTTTGAAGAAGCTCCTGGCTGCATCTGCTTGGTGCACTTACTGAAGATTGCTAACCTCACAGCAGAACTACATAATGGGCTGGACGCTTCTGGCACTGTAGAGTACAGTGTGGTGTCTTTTCCTGTGGTTCTCTTCACCATTCTGAGGCGAGGTTTGGGCCATCCCAGCTTTCTTCCCCACCTTATTTGTACAACTACCAGAGGTGTTTGTGAACACATGCCTGAGCCCTCTGGTTCATAACTTAGTCACACTGAAAGACTGTGCTGTAAACCATGGCTGCTCAGGAGTTGTTCAGAGCTCCAAGCATCTGAAGTAAACAAGTTATACATTTGTCTATTGCCTCTTTTGTGGGGAAAGTGACCTCTGGCAGCAGTGTCTTATATTACTTCAAACAGATTTGGTAGAGTTCACTATGGCCAGAATTTGCCAGTTTACCTGCTCAGTATGTCTCAACTCCTTTGAGTTGAAGCTCAGGGGAGCTGACATCTGTGTGAATGCTGGCCGAGATGCTCCACACACCTTTAGATCCTGGGTGCTCCCTCGCACTGACATGTCTATGCTAAGGAAAGGTCATGGCTGGGTAATAGATACCAGGTAGCCTCAACTAATATTGTGCAGAGAAAGAGTATGAGAGGGGTCTACCATGATCATGTCCAGCCTGGCTCATATTCAAATGGCCTTCTGTGGATTTAGGTGACCAATATAAAGTGAGACCAAGTTCAAGGTAGTGCTGAGCAACATATGTGAAATAAGGATTCAGCAGCCCTGGGCTGCGGGTAATCTAAATCACCACAGCAAGCAGTGAGAATATGGCCCAATATCCTCCAATCTGTGAGACTGACACAAAGCATCGTAGTGGAGCACAATGGGTTAATAATCTGTGCATTTATAAAGTTCGTCTTGCCATAATGTCAGACCAGTTGTCTTTGGGGCAGCCATTGTACAGTGGTAGCTATTGCCTGAAGGAATAAAACATTTTTACAAATGACAGCTATAAAATAATTTTACCTTTCTAACGCTTGCTCTGGTAGCTCATCTTTGAAGCAGGACGGTCCACAGACCTTCCATCAGTGTTTGCTTTTTTGATAACCATTACTGTGGTGGATGTCCTAAAAGAGCAGTATAAGACCATAAAACTTGGAGTCAGACCAACAGTCCCTCAGCCCAGTCTCAAAAGGAAAGGCTGTTTGGGGGAGTGCCTCAGCCCAATCACTGTCTGCAGTTCATTCTCCTCACACTCCCCTAGTTCCACAGCTTTTGTATTAAGAATAATAGAGGATATATTTGAGGCTATTCCTCTTGGTACCTGCTTATGGACCTGTTACCCACGAGTTTGTGGAATCCCTTTTTGAACCTGTTGCCACAGTCTGACAATAAACCTGGATGCAGGTTCCAGAGATCCACAGCCCGATGAGTAAAGGAGTACAGATATGGCAGGGGTGACTGTGGCCTGGGAATATCATGCTGCCCCAGTGCTCCTATTTACGTCTCAAGTTCTGCCTCTGTGTTATGCAGGGCCAGAGGAGAGGGGCATACCAAACTCCTACATTTTGGCTAGCAGCAGTAAAAAACTTGAGGAGTCATCGTGTGTGTTGTTACCAGCATAACAATCAGCTGGTTTTGATTCATATCACTGTGTCACTGCTTTATGACTTGGCTCCTGCCCCCAGTCTTATCTCAGTGCTGTGAATTCAAAAGCCTCCTTCCACATTACGGAAAAATATTTCATGTTACCAGTTTGACATTTTCAGTCTTTCAATGTCATGGAATACTGTTTTGCAGCAAGTGAGAGAAAACTTTGCTCGAATTCAAGCCTGCATTTCAGAGCTCCGTTCGCTACCAAGAGAAGGCTGTTTCCCACAGGGGGGAAATGGAGTGGTACAAGCTGTGCAGGATGGATTGCAACAGTTCAAACAGTACAGCAGACACACAGCAGCAGGAGGCTCAACAAATAATTCCGTTGAGGTAAGAAAATGTTGGGAAGGTAGTGAGAGCCACTTGTTAGCACATGAAGATGATAGTTTGTGTAATATCTAATGTCTATGGGAGGGAGAGAGTAATTTAAAAGAAATAGAAAAAGGAATTAGTAAATAGTAAAAAAAATAATAAAAAGAAATTATGGTCAGTATTTGGAATAACAGGAGGGTTTGTTTATAACTAGCGTTTTTATTTTCTCAGGAGCAGCTTGGGAGCTCCACAGGGCTCCTCCTCTGCAAATTGTAATAGGGATCCCTTACGGTGCATGAGAATGGCTGCATGAAATAACTGAAAAGTCTAAAAAGACCATTGTAAGCTCTGTACAACAGACAGTGCCTGAAACTTAGGAAGCATCATATCTGTTCTTGGCAGGCGTCCCTACATTCGGTGAAGGGAAAACCAGTAATCTCTTGACAACTTTATGGCAGACACAGAAAGAATGGGGCAATCCAATTGCTTTGCCCATGCCTCAATGAATTAGGGGAGAACTGTGCCTGCTGTAATCCTGGTGCACTAGTGAAGTGTTTTGAAACACCACATTGTTATGGTTTGAAGAACCCACAGCAGTTTAGACAATTATTCTATCACCCGATGACCCCTCCCCACCTGGGAAGGGGAATCAGGAAAAAAAGAAGGAAACCCGAGGGTTGAAATGTAAGCAGATTTAAGAGTAATACTAAATAATTAACATTAATAATACTAAAGAACCAATATTGATGCCAATATCAGTATAAAATACACTCAGCCAATGTTCAGCCAATGTATGACCCTACGTACAGTGAACATGCCAGAAAATTTTAGGTATTCATCAATCTAGCTGTCCAGAGATACAATGTCCAGAAATCCTGCATGGATATATCAAGTCCTCAAATCCCTCTAGGCAGATCCCTGTAGAAAAGGGGCCATATCTAGGGAAAACTATGTGTACAGCAGTCCTGGGACAGGATCTAATAGATTTTGGTGCATGCTAGTGGCTGTATTCTCCACTGGGTGTGTATACTTGCGTAAGTGGGAAGGAAGCTGCTAACATCACATGAGAACATATGTGCAAATGTAGAAAGCAGAGCAAGGTTCACAGGAAGAAGTATTTTTTTTTTTTAAAGAAGTATCAACTGATGTGAAAGGACAGGCAGTTATTAAGAGGAGAAGGACTCTGACAGAAGTTGTGTTTTCTTCTGGACACGAAGAAACATTAGCTCCAAACTATTTTTCATTTCAGACTTCACAGGCTCAGGGTCCACCTGGTTTTGGAGCCTTGTCAGTCCTAAAAAGGAAGCCAGACTCCCATGAGTGAAATTTCCCCAGTCCTTTTAGTTTATTTAGACCCTTAAACTCTTCCAGAGTCATGCTGTGATTAGGCAATCTCCCAGCTGTAATTAAGACTCACTACTAGTGTCTATCCAGGAAGCCTCTCTCCTGATTTACTGCTTCTCTTGTGTTTTCTTAGGGCCTTTAGGTATTTTTCCTGACCATTTCAAATGTGATTTGAGCTTTAACTTCAAAGCTGGGGGTTGGAACAGAGTACACTTTTGAGACAAGACCTTTTTTGACACATAACAAAATCCAGGGCACCATCTAGTATAGTTGAAAGAATGAGATAGCTGCATTAAAAATTAAGTTATCCATGAACATAGGGACTTCATACTCCACTAAGCGATCCTTGTTCCTCTAGACTATTCAGATATATTATGCGTTTCATTGCAAGGGGATGTAAGACACCTACTGCAGCCTAGGCTATGGTATAATATGCTTAGTTGAAACAGTTGACTACCATTTGTATAAGCTACTTTCATTTTCTTATTGGAACAGTGTACATAGATGCAACACTAATTCCCCCTCTTCTGACAATTTACCAACTTTTATCTGCTCTTGCATACTTGGATCAGCCTGGAAAATTGGGTGTCCTCCACTCTTCTGGAATTAATCTGACCACATACCACTTTGTTGATAATTTTGATGGGTAACCAAATGTTTTTCTTCCCGGTACCAGAAAATAGCAAGTTCACGTGGTTTGCTATACTATCCTTGGCCCTGCAAAGGTCCTGGGTATGTACACTCAGTCCCATCTAAAGAAGATCCCGGAGGAGCATCTTCATAAAAATGCTCAGGGCAATATGAGAAGATGTAGAGCTGGCTGTCATGCCTAGCTGGAACAGCAATCTGACCAACATTTGTATGACTAATTCCAGTATATCCAAACCAGAGAATGAAGTAGTAGATTTTTTTTCTATTAAAAAGCAAACAAACCAGCCAAATAATAATAATAAAAAAACCAAACAGCAAAACCACAACACTCAAACAACAAGCAAACAAAAACTCACTCTCAAATATGCATGGATTCTAACTTGAAAGATTTCTTAGGGAGAAGAACTCTAGAACCAGGAGATGTGGCCATTCTTCAGAAACTTCATGCAGCAAACTGTACTTAAATTGCTGCATAGACAACCTCTGTCAGAAAATATCTTCTATGGTATTAGAGAACATTTGCAGAGAGTCAGTTGAGCAGGCAGGAGGAGCTCCTTGCTACCCTTGTAAACTACAAGCCTCTCACTGACAGCTGAACGTATAATCCTCTTCCCTTCTTCACCACATTCAAAGTAACATCCCCACTGGAGACTGAATTTTCCTGGTTTCCACAGAACAGCAGATACCACAGACATCAGTCACACTTGCCAGTTCTAGTCTTCGCTCTGAGTTGCTCCATGCTAACTACATTTAGTTCCCTGTTTCCATTTCCTTACTTCCTTTTAAGCTGTTTGTGACCGGCATCAAATGTTTCTTCCAAGAATGCATGCCTCATAAAGCAAAGGGAAAGAAAAAAATAAATTGAGAACAGCTTTTTTTGTGGCTTCATTAGTGGATACAATTTACAGCAGTCCTATTTAATTTGAAAAATATCCAAAATAAAACTAGAGAAATAATTCAGATAATGTAGAGATCTGAAGTATTATAGTACACTTGATTTTAGGCACAGGTACTGGAGAGGGTACTGAGGGCTCCCAAAAGGCAATGCATCATATTTGCCTATCTTGAGGAAACCTTAGATCAAAGTTTAGTTCTGTGGATGACTTCAAGGACAACGGACTTCTCTCCAAGCTAGCAATCCTTCCCGTTTGGCATGCTGCATAAATGTGACTTGTGGATGAAACTCAGTCTCCTGCAAATCCTGACAAAAGGTGTTTCACAGACCTAAATGGGATCTAAGGAGTGGCCTTGGTCTTTCACAGAAGGGTGAATAAGCACCATCAGATCACTAAGGAGCCAAGAAGTGAGCAGATCACCTACAATTCTCTGCCCTCTGTTGAAAAATAAAAGTCAGTGATCACAGAAAGGCAGAAGCATGTTTCAACCTTACAAAAGGCCCTGTTTCTAAAAAAAAAAAAAGGCAGCTTTCTGCTTCGGATGCTTCAGTGACTGAAATTTTGTTTTCATCACAAGCATTATTTTTTCTTTTTAATGCAGAGTAAGTTGGATTTTTATTTCTGTTTCTTTTTCTCAGAAAGCATTTGAATGGTTTGGCTCAGCTACAGTATCTTTTGAAGAGGAAGGGAAAAAGGATGCCTTCTTGGAAGTAAAGACTGGATAATTTAAGCCAGTTAAAGTAGGCATTTACCCTGTTAAATTCAACTGTATCAAGTAGACCATGTGTGGCGATGGAGTTCTTAACATCTCCCACAAGCATTCTCTATTTAATCCACTGTGAAGTAGCAATTCTGTTTCTGTGATACTTTAAAGCATTAGTGAAACACTGGCACAGGTTGACCGAAGAGATGGTAGATGCCCCATCCCTGGAAACAGTCAAGGTCACGTTGGATGAGGCTCTGAGCAACCTCCAGTTGAAGATGTCCTTGCTCATTGCAGGGGGGTTGGACTAGATGACCTTTAAAGGTCCCTTCCAACCCAAACCATTCTATAATTAGAAAACATACGTATTTTTGCATTGAACTGTAAGGCATGGACAAGAGAAAATAAGGCCTACTTTATGGAATTTCTTTAACTCTTTAGTTCCATCTGGTTTTCAGTGGCATGAATGTCAGGTTCTACCAATACAGTTTCTTCTGTTCCAAGAGTTTCATGCCTTAGTTAAGTGCCCTCATAAATCAGTTGATTCCAGTATTTTGCAGTTAAGATTTAACAGAAGACTTATCTAGAATCTTTGTTATTCATCAAAATTTAATGCTTTGTATGTCATTTTGGTGCATCAATGCCCAATTACCAAACTGATATCTCAGTGGCCCTCTTACCGAGATACAGTAACCCATGGTGCTGGCTAAAACAGCAAATTACAGGCATATAATTACAGTAAGTAAACAACCTAGGAGGAATTAATTGGGAACAACTAAGACTACTGTCAGGGAAATCCTGCAGCAGAGGAAAGATGCTTAGCAGAGGGAGCTGCAGGCAGCTGGGCAGGAGGAGAAAAGGCACTCAGCGAGGGGCCAGACGTGCCACTGAGATGCACTGGCTTGTCTCAGCAGTGAGTTGTTGTTTCTGTTTGTGCAGCCTTCTCTTCTGAAAGAAGTGCTCTTTTTTGCTTTCACTGTTATGCTTCCAAAGCAACACAAGTTAAACCAAAAAGCTTTCCCCATGCTTCCATCCATGTGGAAGAGACTACTCCAGAGCTTCTCACCAGGAACACACGCTGCCCTGGACAGGACAGGACAGGACTACAAACAGCAGTAGGATGGAGAAATATAGTATGTCAGAAGCTGGTGATGAAGTATGCTTTCATGTGAGCTAGCAGAAACACAAGTGCTTAAGGAGGCATTATGGTTGTACTAGAAGTGCAGTTTCTTTAGCATGAGACCATGATGGATGATATACAAGAGTACCAGTGGCAATTTGCTTGTGCAAATCAGATGTAGTCTTTAGGCAAATAGACATTTTCCTAGCTGATAAACCACAAAGAGGCAAGAATATTCCTAGCTGACTAGTAAGCAAAGGAGGCAGACTTTGTTACAAACTGCAATCATTTAAAACCCAAATATTTGTTGAAAGTATTGAAAATGCTTACTCTTTTGAGATCTGAGGGGGAAAACCACCAGCACCAGTGAAGCTAAGTCTCAGCAGCAGCTACAGGGCAGGAAATGTGGCCAATCTGCTATAGGATGAAAAGTGTTTTTCAAGTTACCAGTAGCCCATATTTTTGTCAGATTAGGAAGTATAATGACATTAAGGGATTATATATAGAAACTGCGGTAATATGAAGGGAAGTCACAGTAGCTACCTCAGTTTTTGTATGTGGTAAAATATTTCTCCTGGTCTCTGACCATCATGTGCTAGTGTGACTCAGGTTGTGAAAAGGGTAAATTGGAGGTGATAAGCTACAGGTGTAATGCAGCCATGCTTTTGATCAAATAAAAGTGCATTGTTGTAGTAAATGCTCTGTTTGTAGCTCTACAAAAGACACTTAACAGCTTTTAGGCAGTTCAGCTACCCCCAGCTCAAGAACAGTCCCAGTTAGCCATTTTCATTAGTTCCTAAACAGAGCCCATAATTTCTTCATTCCCATTAACTCAGAGGCAAACATTAGGGGTAAATTCAGCTGAAGAGATATAATTTGTTAGGGAAATCAGGCTTGATCTGACATCAGTAAGGCTGCCACAGCTCCATGACTCTAGCCCCAACCAGTTGTGAGGATGAGCATGTATTCCCAGCAGGCAGATGCACACAGAGCACATGCATATAACACATATATACACGCATGGTTGGTCACACAGATCACAGAGAGACACTCAGAGTGCTTACACAAACACACACTGCACCAGCAGCCTCAGCCCACTCCCCTCTCTGGCTGAGCAAGAGGGAGATCCACTAGCAGGAATATACATATATATATGTATATATACACACATGCACACACATCTGTCTCCATACATACAATGTGGATCCCTCCAGCAGCTGGGCTCAGACACTCAGTTGGCCCAGTAGCTGCTCCTGGATCCCAGTCTCCCCAGTTCCTGGCATCTGGACATACAAATCCCCAAGGCTGCAGCCCCACTCCAGTTGCTGGTACATCATGTGTACACACACACGTACATGCACACAGAGCTGGTCAGGACTCACCTTGTCCCTTTGATAACCAGTGTCTCCCTTGGTTTTGCCCTTAGAGACCCCCTTGTTCCCAGTCCATTTCACCAGTTCACCAGCTGGTCTATTTTGATCTTTGCTAACGATTGTACGCTCACTCGCACTTGCTCCAGCCACTGCACCACAGACACATGGGCCTCCAACCCACGGTGTGGCTCCAGCAGCTGTACTGAGACACCCCACAAACACACACATGTGCACACAGAAGAGAGCCCTCACCCAGGACAGAGCTGGGAAGGAAATTAAGGAGAAGATGGGACAGCCTGTGGTAATCAGGGCAGGGCCTGGCCAGGTGAGTGTACTGACTCACCAACTGTTTACATAGGACTGACTCTTTTTATCCCTCTGCCCCTCTATTTTCCTATGCTTGTTCCTTCCCAAATCACCTAGCTTCACCCCTTTGCCCACTTTTGGTTCTTCCCCTAAATATCCCCTAATAAGCCTTCTGCAATCCCAGCCTGCGCTTCCCCTCCACCCCATAAAGTGTCCCACACCTCTAGGCAGCAACACCCCCTCAGTCAGAACGGTGCTCAGGGTTTGACCCATCTTCATGGGTTTTACACCTGGACAAGGGCTCTCTGGGGACAGCCCCAGCAGCTTTTCAATCTGCTTTTGAATAGATATTTTAGCAAGATTTCTCTCCTCTCTCCATAGTGGGACCTCTGCTATTCAAACAAACCTGGCATCATCACTTATGAAGAGAGGATTAGTGTTAGAGGCAGCTCTTGCACGCTCTGATTTGTGTTTCAGATCACAATTTTGACTAGCCAGTCCAGCAAAGAAATGGTAAATCAGCTGGAAAAGAAGTTAAGAGATGTGGACCTTGTGAGTCTGCGAAGAATACAAGTCATTGAGGTTTTGAAGAGAGACTTTCTGGAACCTGAGGATGTGGAACAGTGCATGCCTGCAGAGGAGCCCATCAGCAGTGGTGAGTATAAGAAAGGGTTCTCGGGGAAGTTATGGGTTTGGATAGTTTTAGCTTTGGTCTGATATATGCCACTTTCCTTTGTGACATTTAGTGTCATTCATGCTGTGCCTGCAGGAACAGCAAAAAGTTTGTACTGTGGCACTTCTCTGGGGCTTTATCACATTTGGGCAAAATTAGCACATAGACTTCAAGCATTACTGCATCTCTTGGTATTACCTAAAATTAACTTCATGTGCAATACAGCTTTATTGAGAGATTAAAGAGAAAAATGCATACAGTTTGTAGGGGTAACACACTCTCAGACACACATATACTCACACTGCTGAGCATCACCCTGGGCAGTTGACTGGCTGATTAAAAGGTCCTTGGATCAGGCAAAGGCAACAAGAATTCTTGAAGCAGGTATTCAGGGGAGAGAGAAGCAGGCAAGCAAAAGGGAGGGAAGGAGAAGCAGGCAGGCCATTTACAGCTTTAATGATCCTACAGATAGCCCCCTTCTCCCCCTCACCAACTCAAGGTCTTGTCCTTTCACAACTTTGGCTTCTAAACAATTCTCAGCCTTTAGCTGTTTCCCCCAGGCTACATATTGCACAACACTGGGAAGAATTACTTTCCCAGACCAAGTCAAGCATTTACCCTGTTAATTTGTTGGGTTTTGTCACTGATACTGTTCTTGCTTAGCTGCTGCTTCCTTTCTCTATGCTTCAGCTCTTAAGATTCTATTTCTTCAGTAACCAATAACTGCACATCAATTAATTCTTTGTAGCGCTACAGCCTCTATTTTCTAGTCCAGATCCCCATTTCAAGGGCCTTTACTGCTGACACTTGAACTCCAGTCCATAAGACACACCTGGTACCAGGGTCTATCACACAGCAAGTTCTCACAAGTTGATTACAGGCTTAAAAACCTGAATCCTGATGCCTTGCAAAGTAAGTGTAAGACCTGCTACTAGCAATTACAATATTGTTTTTACTGAGTGACAGGCAACACTGGATGTTGTTGCCTTACCACTCTCTTGTGGTTGCAGTAGCAAATTTCTGGTCAGAAAAACTGGCAGAGTAGGGGCTGGGAATGTTTCGGTGGAATGCAGATTCCCTTTCGTCCCGTCCCTTGCATACACTGCCACATTCTTCACTATTGAAAGAGCGAGTACACCCCAGACCCTGAATGTTATTTTTCCTAGCCATATCTTGAAGAACTCCTTTAGTCTGACGGTTTTCAGCAGTAAGAATTTAAGCTATAGTCATGAGAAATACAGAAACAGAAATTCCTGTTAGCTCCTGTTGTGAGGCTTTTTGTTTCAAAGCAAAAGATGCTGAGCAGATGATCAAAAGTCCAACACCACAGCGGTAAAATCCTGTGTATTGCAATGCTGCTGTAGCTGCAACTTTCATTTCTGTATTTCATTTAACCTAACTTTCAAATCTGCTCAGTTTTTTAATCTCTTTCTCAAGGCTGATAAAATGACCGCTTCCTAAGGAAGAGGATCAAGGTTTTGTCATTCTGATGTGACTTTAGAATTAATTTCATATGCCAAAACTGCACCAAATCCACGAGTTACAAATTGTGGAAGGAACTGTTGCCTACAGCTCCAAGGCTGAGGTAGTCCTTAAAAGTACCGATCTTGTCCATATGGGAAGAGGACAGTATTTTGGGTGGCTGCTCAGGTGAGGAGGATTATTGCCAGGACTTTGCATCAAGCTGGTGCTGCACAACACCACTTCCCTTGAGGGGAAGCCCTGGAAAACTAAACACCACAGAACAGGAGGTGCTTTGTGCCTCTTGGTCACAAGACCACTTTAGAGCATGCAAAACCCCACCTTGTTGTTTTTAAAAGTGAAGTCATATAGCCCTTTCACCCGATAAATGGAATGAAAACATAAATGGGGATGCAAAGGCCATTGAAATTTCAGATGATGAAATTCTAACTTTCTGAGTTTTCTAGTTATGAGAAGACTCAGATAATCTATTTGCTCTCTAAGAGGAGCTCCAGGGAATGGGTAGTCCAAATAATTTGAAAAAGGAGCCCAATTGATTTGTGAAGATTTTTGTACCTGTTGGAGCTCCTTTCCTCTGTTTCTGCAAAAAAAATATTATTGTATGAAAAAAATTACAGTAAAGAACATTGAAATCGCAGTATCTAGAACAAAGGAAGTGCAAGAATTAGTGCTGTGCTCAACTGCAGCACATCCCCCACTACAAAATAAGTATTGTGGTGCAGCACTAAATTATGAGGTTCATCCCACTGTGGCTATTTCTTCCATTAGTTTGTTTAATGGCTGTTTGAACCTACTTACATTTTTAATATCCAGAGCAGTGCTGTTGTATTTGTAGCACATGGAAAAATCAGCTCTTTCTAAACCATCTGCCTGGGTAATTCATTTTATGCTGTCTCCATCTCTGCTTACTGGAAGAAAATGACAGTTTCCAATTTATTTTTTCTGTTATTGTTTTCTATAGCTCTATCACAGAGCTCAGAGATCTTAAACAGTTGTGAATCTGATTACCCTGAAAAAATTTAACCTATTTGTAATGGCTTTGGTAAATTGCTCTCAAAATCTCTTCTGACCTGCTCTAGGGCTTTAATGTTAGATTGCTAGAGTTTGAGTTCTGTTCTTCATTGGCCCTGTCGCCCTCTTTTTGAAGTCTTAACGCTTAGTGGCCTCCACGTCTACCAATGAGAGTGGAAATACTTTCTGACTGGGTTTCGTGAAAAGTCTTTGTACCGTTGTAGGCTTCTGTCTCTTTCTGTTCTTCCAACTGCTGGACCTCATGTCTGCTCTGTAAGGATCAGTTACCTGTGTCCTGCTAGCCAAACTTCCTCAAAGTTCTTTCACTCCACTGGCCCAAATCTGGTCCCCAAATCAGGAAGCTCTCCTGTCCAATGCACCTTTGGAGCAGATTGCACATTGATTTTTTTATTCAGCCATTTTGGATAGTACTTTCCAAGCAGTCTTCCTGTCAGGCAGGAGGGCTGGTAGAAGGCAGCTGTTATTGGTGTCTCTCCCCTTGCCCTTGTATGGATGTTTCTTGGATATGAAGGGGCTGAGTGCCTCCGTATCTGACTTCTGATGTCACTGCAGTCAGTGATCCTTACATGTTCTTCTCTAAGTCCAACATTCTGCTTCTCCAGAAACTTCTGTTAAAATACACTTAAAAATCAAGGTTTTCTTTCTCTCCTGACTTATTATCCATGACTCCTGATTTAAAGAAGGAGAACAGGAACATGTTATTTTCCTAGCTTCACCTGGCTTTCATAAATACATCCACCATCTGTCTGTAATGACTGACCTGAACCTTGGTAGAATAGACCAGAATGATCTGTTTGGTGTTTCACCTTTCTTTCCCAACTAACTTGGATACGTTAATCTTTTCTTTTTTAAGAGACTGTATAACATATTTCCTCTGGGAGAATCCAAAACAGGATTTTTTGTTTTGTCTTTTAAATACAGACTTCAAGAATATGACCTAATTTTGTTCCCTTCATAACACAGAGGTACAGTTTTATTAGATTTTTGAATCAAGCCTACAGTTTGTGGAGAATCAAGAACCTTTAGAAAGACATCTAGTTTTAAGGTAAAGAAATAAGAAAAGCTGTTATAGACCAGCAACAGCCGCCCATTAACAAGAATGCTAAGTTTGGAAGCATCAGAAATGTGGACTGACTTTAGCAATGAAGAGCTGTAGCTCTTGATTATTACGAGAACTTTGAGTTTTCTCACCCAAGGGCCCACGTTTTGTTACTGCCAGACTTCCTGAAAGCATGTAAAAGGTAAGTACCCAGATATAACATTATTGTGGTCAGGCAGTTCTTCTGCATGTGACATAGCGCTGAGTTTTATTCTTTCTAAACCTCAAAAACAGGCCAATAATTTCCTTCACTATGCGTGGTTACGCTATTTAAGGTGAGACGAAAGTGAAATTTTAAGTACAGTTTGCAAAAATGTTCACAGTATGAGTTAGGTAGCGGTGTATTTAAACCAAACTGGATTAATTTAGCAACCTTCAAAATGGCACAGACTAAATATATTAGGAAAAGGCAGAAAAAAAGAATAAACTTACTGGAAATCCTATGCAGGATGTGATATTTCCAAGAATGGCTGATGCTGAAACGTGGAGTGATTGAATAGGAAGCAAAGCTTTGCCTTTATTATGTTTTCATAGCACAGAACACTTCTCTTAAGTGAGGTTTTTGAAAAGCATCACAAAAACTTGCTTTCAAAACGGAAGTATCATAAGAGCTTACTACATGAGCTGAAAACATATAGTAGCTAATCTGCTTCACTGAAGGAACTTGCAACAGCTAACAGAATTGTTTCAGCAAATATAGCAAGAGATGTTATGTTGGTTGAGAACTATCACAGTGTGACAGGGAAAAAACAATCCCACGCTCTCTGATGCTTATAACACAGTTGTTGTTCTTAGACTTTGATAACGAAACCGAGATTATTGGACATGTATACCTATATATAAAACCCATACCACAGGAAAACAGTTATATTTCTAGCTCCTTAAGTCTTAATTTATTTATAAGTCATGTTTATGTTTAGAACTTCTGTGATCTTACATGTTTAGAACATCACTGGAATAAATGCCAGTTTGATTATTTTTTTCTTCTTTAAGATAAAAGGATGTTTGGAAGCTCTGAGGCTTGGTTAACAATTCTGACTTGGTATTCAGGGCATACTGGAATGAAAGAAGTTGACAACGTTTCCAGGAACAACTAAAATTGTAATTTTGTGTATTGTATAAGCCATTGTTTTTGAAAGAAACAGTCCTAAATCCCTCCCCTCCATTCCTCCATCAAAACTGTTTGATATCAGGAAACTGGTCTGGGCTCACACTACGCTGGGAAAAGAAAAAGTGAGCCTGTTTTCGCTTAGTTTGCAAATCTGTGCTATAGGTTCTATCGTCTCTTTTCGTCTTTAATGAAATCCTGTAGATCTGCAGACTATGTAAGAAACAAACCTGTACTGAGATAGAGCTATTGGAATTAAATACTTAGCTTTTCTCCCTCCTCCTGCCCCAACCCTCTAAGGAATTTTGGAAGTGAAATTTAAGGGCACAAGACAAATTATAATTAGTGAACATGATGAAAAAACGTGGTTTGGCAGGTTTGTGCAGTTCCATGTCTTTATGAAGCGGTCATCTTTGGTAAATCCCAGATAGACAGAAACAACCTTATTAAAATGGACTTGTTAAATATCTGGTCAAGGCTGGAAGTTTCCATTTTTGCAAGAAAAAAATACCTTTAGCCTCAAATATGCTGCTGAGTATTGTATTTAAAGACAGGCACTTGCACTGGGGAAGGCACCAACAACAAGCTGCAGGTTTAGCCACTGGGGAGATAGCAGCTGTGACACTTGGCTCAGGCTTTCAGTGAGACACCTCACTTGATTATCTTGCCAGACAAAATGGATTTGTATTTGATGATTTCAAGACACTCTTATGGACAATTCAGTGAGAAGCTTGCATTTTCTTCTTAGACTTCTATGGAGTAAATGGTATTACCCTGCTTCCTTCTTTTGGATCTTCCGTTGGACTGTAAGACCTTGAAGGCTCAGATCACCTCATTGCCTTACTTATACTGCAGCTACTGCAGTGAGATCCCAGTTCACTGCAAGGCTTCCTACTAATTAATTAATTAATGTTACCTGTGTTATTTTGCTGTCACATAGTACTAGACTACACAAAGCCAAGAAGATGTGAAGATGCAAGATCTGCATCCTGAGAAAGCACCTGATTTTTCAGCTCGAGGAGGGAAGCAACATACAGCTACCATTTCCTATGGTACTGAAAGAAGGAAAGCAGGATCAGGATATCCCCTCTCATAGGCTCATTTCCAGGTTAACGCAGCTAGAAAAGACTCCAATATTTTGAAGCCCTGCAGTTGGCAAGTCTTAAAATAGCTTTTAATGTGGTAAAAAATGCTTACTGTTTTTTTTCCTGGGAAGAGTGCATTTCTAGACAAAGGCAGACCATGTGACGAGCAGCGAGGACTGCTTTTTCAAAACTGCAAAGCAGGTCCTCTGTAGGACAGAGACCAAAGCTGCAATGTTTCTTTAATGATAAAACGTTAGGGCTTGCCAGACTGCAGACTGGGGCAGAGATCATGATCAATGCATGCAGTATTTGTGTCTGGAATGGTGCGTGGGAGTAATTGAGAGGATCCAGTGGACTGGCCTCTAATTGATAACATGAGAATTATTATTATCTTGCCCCTACCCCATTACAAACATTTAAAGCATCTGAGCATTGCCAAACCATTTGCTGAGGAAGGTAAATATTTGTCTGTGATCTAGATACTGGCTTTCTGCTTTGGGAACATTTTTTATGAACAAAATGCGTCTTCTGCAAGTTCCAGGGAACCTTTTTCTATATGTGCTCTGCAGATTGCTGACCACTGAATGGCTCTGCATATCTGCTCTCCAGGAATTTTAAGACCCATCATACAGTAGATGTCAGCATCCCAACCTGATCTTCCTAAGAACGGGCAGCAATGAACGCATTGAATTTCTTTTTACAATTGCCACGTATTGTGCCAATTTAAGATGTGTGAGTGGCTACATATCTATTATCATAGAGAAAATTTAAAAATAGGCAAATATTTACTGAGGAAAGGACTAAAAACATTTACCAGCCCCAAAACACAGTCTCTCAAAAACCAGATAATTCCCTTTGTCACCTGTGTATACTGTATTTGTCAAAGTAAATTACATGCATTTCCTGGTGCTTTGTCTTCTGAACTGTTAATGCCCTCTTCAGTGCACATCCCAGAGAGAAACCTAAAGTCTAATACCTGAAGTCTAAAAAAAGTAGGGAGTGCATCTCAGCTGAAGCAGAACCAGCTCTCCAGGTCCGTTAGTGCATTCTGCAGGGAAATGAGAGCAAAACCCGTAGCATCAGGGCAAGTGACTGACAGTGGTAATAGCTCTGTTCATGAAGAGCAGTCTCCAGAGAGAAGCAGGATACTCCCTTCCACCAGAGTATCCTCCAGCATTGCTCCACGGGGGAGAAACTCATACTTCCATAACCCTTAGAGAAGACTGGGGTAAGGCATGATACCCTTCTTAAGATACATTTTTAAAAGCTGCTACAAAACTCAGGGAATACTCAGGAGGAACTAAAGAAAAAAGGAATGAAACGTTCTTGCAGCCAAGGACATTCAGACTGGATATCAAGAATTAAAGGCTTTCAGTAGCAAGGACAGTGTGAAGGACCTCCCATCATAATGGTAATGGCTTCTGAAGCACTTCTTATGTAAAAGCACTTGAGGGACTAAGGATAGTGTTGTGTAGTGGAAAATGCAACAGAATGTTCTTTTCTATTGCTGACAATATTTGTGCTTTTTCACCTTTTTTTTTTCTTGCAGACATTGCAATCCTGGGAATGGACATCGATGTACAAACCATAGAGGACAACGTCATCAGCTTGGAGATGCTGTTTAAAACATGGCTACATGACTATGGCACAGAGAGAGAACACCTCCATCTCCTCCTTCCATCAGGAGGCTTCAGCCATGCCACTGCACCCAAGACCACCCTAAGTATTTTATTTTCTTTCCCCCTCTGCAAGGAACTCCTAAATCCCACAGCCTTAAAGGTTACCAGGCCTGTCCCATGGGCATGTTCCCTCACCTTTAGAGACCCAAGTAAGGTCTCTGGGTGACTTTGAAAGCTGTCTGGAGATTCTGTTGTCTCAGGCTGAGAGGGGCCATTTCCTTAGAATACTTCTAGGTTGCTGCCACGTCCTGTGGCTGCTGATGCTATACATAATTTCCATTCTGCAGCAAAAATGTTCCTTGAAGAGATGTATTCCTTGTGTTTGCTACTAAAAGTCTGTGCCAGAGCTGCACTTAAATATAGGCTGACTTACAAAGGGATTTGGCTTGTATTTATATCTATTGATTAAGCAGTAAATAGCTAATGTTCTAGCTGGAGCTGCCAACATTTATAATAATGCATGGGAAAAAGTATAAGGAATATGTAGCTTTTTTTCCTTTACTTATCTACGTCCAATTCCCCAATCTGTCCCTGGGTGAAAATAACAGCTACAGAAGACAGAGGTGTTTCCTGTAAATTGTCGTTAACTGTATTGTCACCATTGCACTGCCATGGGAATCTGCACATGCACTTCTGGCAATCCCCTTTCCATGCCTCTCCAATATGGCATTATATTCCACTTCAATATGGTACTCGTGCAGCTTCACATTGCCATTGCAGCAGAAAACCACTTGTTTTCTTCTGGTGATCCACGGGCCAGTTCCAGCCTGGAAGCAAAGCTCATATAGAGTTGCTGGTGGCTTTTGCAGATAGTTGCCATAGCAGGCAGATCAGAAACCCTGGTGTGATTTTTTATTTATGTAGTAGCTACCATAACAGCCTCCAGACCAGCACAGGCAATTATGATATTTTGTTAAAGGTAGATTTTCCTTCATCATAATATTGATTTTCATACTTGATGCATTGTCTTATTGTAGCTAGTGAGACAAACCAAGTTACGCTGCAGTCGGTTTTTTTCACCTTCCCACACAAGAAATCTGTGGAAGGCCAGAGAAATTGTATGCAGCTATATCATATTGTATGCAGCTATATCATATTATACCAGAGTTAGTGTCATCAGAGAGCTGGATTTCTCCACAAACACAGATAGAAAAGCTGACAGGAAATGTGTGGCCCTGAACTCAGTGTGTCATTGGGAAACAAGCTTCTGCTCTTTCTGCAGCTGGCCACTCGTCACCAAAACTGGAACTTGCCTGCCCAGTTACCAACCAATCATTGTTTCATTAACATGTCAAGTAGGTGGTATTTCCCCTTGTGTGTCAAATGGGGATAAACTGTTGCCTGGTGGCACAGGCCTTAGCATTATTTTTCTGTTAGTTGCGTTGCTAGAAAACATTAACTTAGTGTTTCTAAGTGCTTTGAACATGTTATGTGCTAAACACCACCATTTCCAGCAATCTAAACCCATCTCCTTCTAGTGTGCCTGAAGTGTGATTTGCAGGAGAGATTACTGGATCCAGCTCTACTGTCTGGGGCAGCGGACGGCACCGTGAGAGCAGTGGATTTGAATTCACCCTGCCAGATGGCAGCCTGGCCAGCTGCAGTGCTGTATAAACTCCGGGTTGTAAAGTAAGTGTTGTTACGTGCTTTGTGCTTGGCAGCTGGAAGGCAGGTATAACAGCAGCCTACACTCTTTCAGTGCCATTTCAGCGAGGACCTAGTAATGTCACCATAAAGCGCTGGGGACTCTTAAGTGCTAGTGGGCAAAATTCTGATGTAGGATACCCTCAACCCCCGTAACCCTTAGTGTTACGGAACAGCACATCCCACACATGCAGACAGGAGTGCAGAGTCAAAAACAGCGTTACCATGACACTAGGACTTTATGAGTGTAACAGCATAGATGTTATTCATGCAACAGTGGTTTCCCTCCAGTGTGAAGTTCGGTAGATTGCAGCTATTGCTCCGTGTATAATTCTGCTGTTCTCTCACTCCCTAATGAGGCCACAGCGATTAACCAGATGTCAGAGCCTGAGCTACCTATTTGACTAGTACTAAAAAAACAAGCAAAGCCCCACAGTTCTGTGTGACTTCATGTAAGAATTTATTCGCTTTCCTGTCAGCAGTTCTATGGCTGGTAAGCACAGAGCATAACAAAAAGAGTGATGCTCTCTAGTGTCTTTTCTGAGGTTTATTTAGAGGGGAAAAAAAAAAGTGTAATTCCTGAACTATATAGTTGTTCTTAAAATTACTCTCATTCTGTCAGTATCTGAAGAGCACTCAGTAATTGTGCGTAAATGGCCCACAACCAAAGCACTGAAGCCACTTAATAATGCCCAGTCACGAAGCGGAAGTGTGCTATGGACAGGCAATGTCAAGCACTGTGAAGTCTGTAGTGGTGTTTGTGGTGGGATGTTGGCTCTGGGCAGGAGCAGAGCACGTGTCAGTTTAAGTGGAGGATAACCATGATCCAGTAAAAATCACTTGGGAAGAGATGTGATTGCCTGGGTGGGTTATTGCCCAAGAGGCCGGAGTAACAATCTGTTCTGTATACAAAACATACAAAGAATGGATTTGCTTCTTGGCATGTCCTTGTCACTGCAGATACAAGAGACCCTGGCAATCAGCAAGAAAGCCTCTTTTCACTGCAATTGGGTTTTTCTGCAAGGTTTCATAGTGTCAGGTCACACAAATACAGATATGAAGTGCTTGCAGCTGATACTGCCATAGCCACTTGAGTTAGTCATCTCCTGGTAGAGTCTTCTTGCTGATTTCATGCTGGCTGTGCTTCACTAACATGAGCTGTATATTTGCAGGGCTCTGAAGTATGAAGGGGTCTGTGAGTCTGTACTGTATGGCCTGCCCTTCATCATCAAGCCCACAAGCTGCTGGCAGCTAGACTGGGATGAACTGGAGATAAACCAGCACAGCTTCCATGCTCTATGTCACAGTCTTCTGGTGAGTGTGTGAAAATCGCAGTCTCATGGAGAGGGATTGCCATAGAAAGGAAGAGTTAGTGCACATCTTGTAGGATCTGTCTAGCCTGCACCAGAAAATATGTTTCAAAAGCTGCAGCTTCATCTCATGGTCCAGAGTTGGGCTTGTAAATCCTTCTAGCCAATGCCTTCACTGGAAAAATGCTGCAGCACATCAAACCTTAGAGAAGACTCTCTAGCCTATCAGAAATCCAGCGTTTGGAGGTATGAATGCAAAAGTCAGGGTTGGAATTAGACATGCATCATTAACTGTGAAAATAATTAACCAACACTTAGGATGTGGAGGGCTTTCCATTACTGACAAGTCGTAATGCAAAATTGCATTTAATTAAAAAAAAAACCAAAACAACACAAACAACTTACTATCCTCACCCATAATGCAGAATAGTGTTCTTATTCTGATGTGTATGAACGTCTCTGCTCCTGAACCCAGCAGCCCCTATGGTGAATGTGCTGAAGGAAGTGGCTATTGCCCATCGTTCACATTGGTTTTGGCTTTTGCCATTTAGAAAAGGAAGTGGATGCTTTTGGCCAAACGTGAGCCACAGAACACTAGTCCGAACTGGAACATCATGGTGCATTCCTACTACATCATTGTCCCTTCCGACTCTGCCACTCTACTTGTCAAAGCAGTCGCCATTAGAGAGCTCTTGCTGCCCTCAACCTTCCCACCTCTCCTTGCTGAACACCATGAGAGAGTACACGGCCCTATAGAGGTAAGTCATTGACAGCCCTGCACGAATATCTGTGGAAATGATCCCCGTTGTACAAGCAGGGATCAGAGTAATGATCAGCCTTTATGCACAGGACATGCAGCTGCTCCTGAAGATATAGCTATCTCCCTCACTGCTGGGGAACATGACTATCCTCAGATTGCAGAGAGAGGTGCTTTAGGCATAAGAAAAATCAATACATACAGCGTCTCTGTTTCTTCCAATAGATTCAGGCTTCTGCATTTCCTATTGTGCATCCATATGTTCTTCTCCTGAGCTGTCTGCCTCCGCTTCAGGTGATGCCAGGAAGGGCAGAGCCCTCACTATTGGTTTAAGCAGATGAGTAAAGGAGGAAACAGCTGTGAAAATGTGTAGTGAGAGCTGGAATATGATGGACCACTACAAAACATCTTCCCAGCAGCAAATATATTCTACAGCTTTCTTTATGGATAGTAAATGCCTGACCTTTGGAGGAATGTTGCATGTCTGTTGAGGGGAGGAGGAAGAGGCCTTATGAAGCAGAGTGCTGAGTGTGGTGATGCCCAGAAAGGCGGCTCCAGCTTGTTGGCTGATTGTGGGCATGGGGGGGATAGGACTGCATCCTGCAAGGGAATGCTTAAATCCATTAACAACTCGTTGCAGATGCTCCTGTTCTATACACAGCTAAAGATGGTCCTTATGGATAGTAACCCAGCCAAATATCCCTTCTCGCATCACTGCAGGGTTGCATGGAGTGTCTGTTACACTCATCCCTACAAAAAAATCCCTCAACACTAAAAACAAACAAAAAACCCCAAGCAAACCCCACAGCCTGTCACATCTCATAGCCACTGCTTGCTTTCTCCTGTCTGAACAGAGCGCCCTGAACAGTTTGGAAGTGGAAGTTGCTTATAACCCCTTGCACCTAAAAAGCAACCTGTACAAGTACCTGAAGGGTGTCTTGTACAAACCTCTGCACAGGCAGCAGGCCCAGCCCAGGGACCAGCGACCAGAGCGGCACCAACCCAAGCAGGTATGTCTCTTGCCTTTGGCTAGCCTAGATAGTTTCTGTTCTGCCCCACTGGTCTGCTCCCTGCAGAAGGGCTGAGGGCAGCTCCCCGATACCCTCCTGGTACAGGGAAGGCAGTGTATGGCAGGGGCAACATTCACTTGCAGCAGAGGGATGGGTGTAGCGTAACCTCATGCAGTTGAGGAGAGGGATGCCAAACAGCTGGCACGTGCAGACACAATCGGACAGTGGGTTGTTGGACCAACCCGTGCCTGCTTCCACAAGGTGCACTGGTATTTTGTCCCTGTATTGCAGCATCAGAGCAGAGCCAAAGCCATGGTAGCGCCCCTTCCAATGGCTGCTTCTCCTGTCCAAGCATTCAGACCAGCAGCAGTGAGGAGAGATTCCTGTGAGCCCTCCCTGCTCCCCAAGGAGTATGACGAGTTCCTGCAGTAAACCCCAAGGCACCGTTGAGCCTGCTCACGTGCAGTCACAGCTTGGCTTCTCGCTCAGCTGCCAAGCCTTACGCCCGGGGCCGGAAGCGGTCAGGCAAGACACTAAGCTTGGCCTTGGTGAGACAGGCACTTCCCATTGTTTGTTCCTCCTTGTTTTATGGTTTTGTTAGTCGGCGAGTCAGCCTGCAGGAAACCTGCTACTCTGGGGCCCTCTGTCCAGAGATTCAGCTATCCCCTGCAACACCCCATGTTTCCCATTCTCGTCAGCACACACCACCAGCACGCTTTTAAGTTTTGGTTTCTGAGACTAGCCTAGTACAGGCCACAAACCACAGATTGCCGTCAGCAAGTGCAGAAAAGCTGCAAGCAGGGTGGTGAGGAAGTCAGACAGACAGATAAAGTAGGCAGTAACGTCAAGCTGCCATCATCCTGCAGGAGTAGGTTCAGCAGGGGGGTTGAAGAGACTTAAAACAGGGCTTTTGAATTGAATCTTTTAAGCCCAGAATGCTGCCCTCCTGAGAGCAGCACTAACACATGACAATGCTCATGTGGTTACTTCTGTAATCAGTCTCACTGTCCAACTCCCCAACTCGTGAAGGGGTTTGTAGCCAGTGCCAAGCCAGCCTTAATGCCCTGGTTGGCTTCTACACAGTGACAGCTCACCACAGCACCATTCTCCCACCCAACTAGTGCTTGGGTGCTCTCCTCCTCATGGCCCATCTGCACCTACAGGGCTGTTCTGGAAGCCAACATGGCAAGTATTTTTTGGCAGGGTACAGAAGATGTGAGGGGTTGGCCTAGAGCTTTCCAGAGAGCTTCTGCCCAGTGCTTGCACAGATGCTAGCCTGGTTTTCAGTGCAGACAAAGGACAGCTGCCCCTGGCAGGGCAGGAGCTGAGGGCAGCTGTAGCGAGCCAAGGTGGGGTGGTCTCACTGGGCTTCCTGGTTGTGTTCTACTTTGTTCTGACAAGCTGTTTCAAAATAAAGTTATCCACCACAATGCTCACTTACTGCCTGTAGTTTATAGTGTGCATTGCATGTAGCGATCCCAGCACTGACCTGTACTTCCTGAGAAACAGCTGCAGTTCATTCAAGGGCACAACGCAAACACCAAGCTCCCGGGGCGCTGCTACAGCAGGAGAGCAGAGCCATCAATGCCACCTCTTTTCCCTGGGACCCCAGCTCAGTAACAGGCCCTGCTAGCCACCCAGAGCATGCACCTGCTCTTCCCCTGCCCTGGCAGCACTCTCTGCCTGGCAGGAGGCTGCACCTCAGGCAGCTGCCTGGGGTAAGATGTCAAGGGCAGGTACCTTGAGGCCAAGGCAGCCACCCCTGCAGGCACAGGGCTGTGGGTTTGTTAGGGTGTACAAGCTGGTGCCTAAGCCCTGCCTCTCCAACAAGCTCTTCATGTTATGAGGAACTAGGAAGGAGCAGTAGCCAAGGGGCAGTAATGCACATACAAATGGCCCAGCCTGGGGCATGCAAATCAGACAATATGAAAATGACAAAATCAGGCGGATGGGGTGGAGGACACAACAGGGGATTAGCTTGACTGAGTTGATGACGTAGGTGACAATTACTTTGGCAACCATATCATAAATGCCACATGGGTACAAAGTCAACAAAACACCTTGCAGATGGGAAGGGATAAACAAATAGGGGCTTGTGATTTATTGCTGATAGAAGGAAGCCACTAAAGGGGAAATGTGGGAAGAGGGAAAAGGGAGCGTAAGGGGAAGCAAATCACAAAACTAGGGAAGTTTGGGGGTCCCTGTTGAAAAGCCCTCTGCCTGATCACCACAGTGTGAAGCAGGGCAGTAACTGCGCTGTTGCTCTGACTGACTCTTGACAGCCAGAGGGAACTTGGGTACTTTCCCTAATCCCAGAGTGAGAACGGATATCCTGGCAGAAGCTGTCTCACGCCTGCACCACGCTAGGCCCTAAAGGGGAGGAGACAGCAGTTATAAAAGGACACATCTTTCAGAACAGGAAACAGAAAAAGGTAGCCCCAGGGGGAAGAGGTTAGTTGGGCTTTGAGCAGCTCCTAAGTCATTTTCTCCTGGTAAAAACTGCTACCTGGCCCTACAGAGACCTACTTCTTCTGTTGCATCCCAGCTGTTGCTGCTAGACCAGTGCTCTGACAATTCTTAGCTAATCTGGGGCACGGACTTTTAGCAGACAACAGAGAAGCACACAGGCTGTCCTCACATGAGGAAGTCTCACATCCAAGGACTTCCCATTCACAACCCAGTCTGGCCCACAGCCCCTGGACTGGGCAGAAACAAAGCTGCACATCCAGGACCACTTCTGCACTGTAAGACGACAGGCAGAACCAGCAGCCAAGCATAAGGCATGCATCCCCAAGCACCTCAGCAAAGCCCTGCTCTGGACTGGCTGCCAGGATGCCACTTTGCAGGTACACAGACTGAATTCAGCCAAGGCACACAACCACTGTGACGTGCCACAGCTGCGGTTGAGCTGCACCCAGCTGCTTCACTGTTCAATACATGGAAATCAGTTGTGTGTAAGGAGACAGTGGAAGTGAGGCAAAGGAAAGGAAAAGAAGGTAGGCAATGAAGATGCTCAGAGGGCGGGAGCACCTCCCATATGAAGACAGGCTGAGAGAATTGGGGGTTGTTCAGCCTGGAGAAGAGAAGGCTCCTGGGAGACTTTATAGCAGCCTTAAAGGAGGCCTACAGGAAAGATAAGGGGGAGTCTTTATCATGGAGATAGGGTAGATTTAGATTAGATGTTAGGAAGAAATTATTTACCATGAGGATGGTGGGACACTGGAACAGGTTGCCCAGAGAAGCTGTGGATGCCCCATCCCTGGAAGTGTTCGAGGCCAGGCTGGATGGGGCTTTGATCAACCTGGTTCAATGCTCCAATGGCAGGGGCATTGGAACTAGATCTTCTTTAAGGTCCCTTCCAAACCAAACCATTCTAGGAAGGCAAACAGAACAAATGCTAATCTAGGCAGAATCCAGAAAGATCATCTCCTAGCCCTAAGCTCAGGGTTCACTGCAGACTTTTGCTTTGGCAACAGAAGGCTGTGACCAGCCAAAGGCTCGCTCTGCATTTACCTTATTTCTTATGCTTTCCCAAAGCACCTCTCACACCCTGAACTGCTAACAGAAAGGAGGTAAGGTGAAGCACAGAGAAGCAGCCTGAGCAAGATGACAGGTCTGGCCCACAACACTGAGCCAGAAAAGCACGGACAGTCTCTCCTGATCAGCCTTCCCCACTGCACGCACTTCTCTGTCCTGGGGTCGCGTGCATAAATAAAGCAGGCCAGGCACAACGTTTTGTGCCTCCACATCAGGGTAACATAAGCACATAAGGGTACCTTTGAGCCCGACTCTCATATCCCTTAATCCCCTGGCACCCAGGCATCCCAGCCCCAACTGAACCTTTCTTCAGTTTCCCCTTAGCTCAGTAGCTCTGGCACAGACACAAACGTGCCACCCCGCAAACACTGCTCATCCGGGCCACCCCGCAGCACTGCACCGGCATCTCCCCGTCTGTACGCCTGGCAGCCCAGACATGCCACAGGCAAACGTTTCATGCCGAGACATACAGATTTTAATATTAAAATAATTTTGTATAAAAATACTTTTGGAGACTGATGGCAGGCAGTCTTCCATGCACCGCAACGGGCATCCCAGCCCTGCAGCCTGGTGAGGGAGCCAGAGCTGAGCCAGAGCAGCAGGCACAAGGCAACACAGCCAGCCCTCCTCCAGAGCAGGAGGTGGCACCCGAGCCAGCTCCAGAGCCGGAGAAGCACCCTGGCACCCGCGCCAGCCACAGCTCTCTTGCTCTCTGTGGATAGGGCCTCCAGGGAAAGGCAGACACTCCCAGTGCTGGTGAGCACGAGGGGCTCTGCCTGAGCCAGGACAGACCCCAGCCCCAAGCCACCCCCTGAGACCCATGGAGGACAGCAGCCGGCACTGCTCACCAACAGGGCTGGCCCCCCCAGTCCCTCCCGGGCAGGTCCAGAGCAGCAGCACACTAGATCTCTCCTAGGTCCTCGTAGACAGGTGACAAGCTGCACTCATCCACAGACTGCTCCTTCTTCTGCAGGTGCTGGGGCTTCACCACCTGGCTGTACAGCACCTCCACGTTGTTGTTGTTGCTGCTGTTGAGGCTGGGTTTGACGGCCACCTTCTCAGGAGCGGGGTTCCCCCGCCGCCTGCCAGGGTCCCCACTCCTCTCACCCCCTTTGGGGATAAAGGCCGTCTGGGGCTTGGGGGCAGGCAGTGGCTTGGGGCCCTTGGCCTTGGCCTGGAAGGTAGGTACCGAGTAGTCGTCAGTGCTGGGGTTGTAGGGATACTCGTAGCCACCTCTGCCGTCGTGGCCCTGGGTGCGCCATGCCTCGCCCGTGGGCCGCGCTTCGTCGTAGATGCAGGTGGGGGGTGGCAGCGAGCGGGGGGCACGACCCTCGGGCTCATCGTAGATGTGCTCCTTCCGCCCGGGCACGGCGGGGGCCTGGCTACGCCCCTCAGCCCGGACCTGCTCGTACGTGCCCGAGTACAGCGGCGCCGGCAGCCGGAGCTTTGTCTCATCCGAGGTACCGCCGGGTGCCTTGGCCCCGCTCGGGGACTTGCTGTCTATGGGGTCCGAGTACAGGGTGTCCAGCCAGGGACGGAAGCTCTTCACCGAGTCCAGGGGCTCTGAGTACACGCTGGAGAGGTCCTCAGCCGGCACCATGGCGTGGGGCACCTTCGGCAGAGGGGAGCGCGGGGGTGTGTTCATGACCGCCGGCTTGGGCTGTGGCACGGGCAGCTCCGGCAGAGTCCGGGTCTTCAGCAAAGACGTGGCATCTCTCTCCTCTGCTGCCGCACTGGGTCTGGGCGCCAGCCCCGCTTTGGGTGCCAGGGTGTCCTCCCCCTCTGCGGGCAGCTCCAGGCTCAGGGAGTCAGCCAGGGCCTGGCGGATCAGCACCACGCTGGGGTTGTCCGAATCCAGCGAGTCGCAGCTTCGCCGGTTCTCCTCCACCTGCGCTTTCTGCTCCCGGATGGAGGCTTCCACCAGGCGGAAGATCTCGTTGCCCTGCTTGGTCTCAAAGGTGAAGTTCCCCGGGCCGGAGTCACAGCGCCTGCCAGCTTCGAAGGAGAACATCACCTGCAGGGGAAGCGGAAGGGTCACATCCTGCCCAGCACATCGTGCAGGCCGTGCTTCCTGCTGAAAGGCGCATTTGCCTTACCAGCATTACTCTGTCAATGGTCTGAGGTACTTTGAAGAGAAGTCTTGTACCAAGACCATGTTCCTCAAGCCTGAGCACACACTCACACACAAGTTTCCACCAGCAGATGCCCACACCCTTTCTGAACCTTAGTCCCTGAATCCAGGAGAGATTTTCTGCCTTGCTGGTGCTCTCTTGCATGCAGCGGCAGCCTCTGGGTTTGCTACAAAAGCCTCTGGGACCAGACTTCCTTGTGTGGGTCAATGCTGCCAAACACAAGCACAGCCAACCCTTCACCAGTCAGGGACCTGTGGGTGCAGCTGCCCGCTCCTCACAACATGTGGCTCTCGTCCTGACCCTGGCGCAGTCCCTGCGGACGAGCCAGGTGCCTCCCCAAGAGCAGCTCAGTTTCCACTTCTCTTTTGGTGAAGTGCAGCAGAAAGTGCCATCAGTGGATTGCAGCCAACGCCGTCACTTCTGAAAACAGCCCTGGGGTGACCACTTCCTCCCCATCCAGCACAGCAGGTACCTGTCGTGCTTAGGGTAGCAACGACAGGTTGCTGGAGGACAGTGCAGAGGTGACCTACGCAGGGTCAGCCAAGCTTAGAGCAGTACATCCTGTAAGGTGAACAAATCTAGAGTGTCTCAAACAGCCCCTCCTGCTCCGGCCACCATTCTTCAGGAGGGATGGACTGAATGCAGGGCAGAACCAGGACCGCAGGGAGTGAAGGGAGAGTTTGTGCACAGAAGGACATGCTTGCCCATGACATGGGCTGGGGAGCGATGGGATGGAGAATGGGGACAAGCCAGCCACAGGGATGCCTGGCAGAGGGGC